TACCACGGTTAATTAAACCTGACCCAAAGCTAATAATTAATTAGTAAAGCGTAAAATTAATAGAGAGAGTAATGTTGGCTTTTTGTTCAACTGAAAGGAAAAACTTAAATCGAAAATTTACCTCAACTATTTTTGTATGCAAATATTCCTTTACGTTGAAGATTTTAAACAAAATAATCACTGTGAATTTTACTGTTTATATTGAATTCATGAAACGTCATTATTTTCTCCATAAAAAACTTCCAGTTAATTATTAAAACTACTTCAAGTTTACATTCAACTTAATCAGAATAAACCATAGGTGATTAGTAAATAGTGAACAGATTTACAGTGTTAAATTCCAACAAATCAAGTTAAACGTAATAATAATAATGAATAGTAGTCAGCAATAGAATCTGCAACCAGGGTTTGTCCTATTTAGGATTTTTCAGCTAAGAGGTAGATGTAACCACCGAATGGTTACTAAATACGACGAAGTCCTCACTCTGGATTCTTTAATTGGCCTTTACTCATCATAACTATAAAACCGGAGTTGCCCTTAATATGGACGAACCCGGATAGAAGACTATACGCTAAAAGTGACCTTTTAATTCAGTCACACCAAAACTATGAACTACATCAGGTTTAAACTGTTGAGAGACTATGAACAGTATCAGAGTGGTTTCTATAATGGTGTTCATGACCATCTTCTTAAAACGCATTGTACTCAGTTGTTTCCTTTTAAACTGTATAACAAAAAAGAGGACGGGATAAATTCCAATATATTCGTGATAATTTTAAGTTACTTGATTGTGGCTAGCAGAGGAATCTAGAACAGGCGTTTCATCCTATTTGACACTAAGTGGCTGGATGTACCTGCGCCCTGGTCATTGATGTTGTTCCCACTAGGACTCGAACCTTGTACCCATTGGATTAACATCACTCACCGGGGAGCAGGTACACTCAACTGACGAGTCTCAAATGGGATGGAACGCGCGCCCTGGAATCCTCTGTTAGCCACAATCAAGCAAACCACCATAACCAATATCTAGGCAATATCAAGGCATCCGCGTAGGAGCCCATATGCCAACAGAGGTTGAATAATTCGATCTAGTATAACAAAGGAGAATTACAAGTATACCAGCGAATAGTTATATTCATAATAATTTACAAGAGATATCGTGCCCCACAAAACCAGTCCGCCCAAGTTCTGTTCACCTGAAAACTTTAAACTGTTTATTCATAAAAGCCAAAACATTTACCTGAGCTTCATAAGCTCGTTGAATTATACGATCCATTGCAATGGTGAATGCACGAAAACGATGTACGTGTGATCCTATCGGTTAATGTTTTTAGTTTTCTAGCATAAAGACGAAAGACAACTTATTTCTCAACTTCTGTCACGCTATCTCATCCTCTTTAAATTACTCATTTCCTCATTTCACTTCGTCCCCACTGTCTTGATTTATAGAGAAAAAACAAGATTATTTAGTAGGAAGACCGTACTGCTTTTATTTAACGATGAGAAAGTCCTAAACGAACAGTATGGGCTTTCAAAACCACTGGACAGCTTGGTGAACCATATTTCGGTTTCAAGCATCTACCTTAACGGAATTAGTTGTTGGTGTATTCATTTTTGAGGCCTTAACTTTTCATCTGATACCTAAAGATTTGTGTGGAAAACATTTTCATTTCTGTTCGTTGGTTTGGGTGCAGACTTTGTTCGAGGTGCTGGATGCTGTATGAAGATTGTCGTTAATTATTTTAGAAATCACTAAGAAAAATAATGTCGAAAAAGGTGCTGGTTTCTGGCTGTGACTGTCATGAACTGTTGTCGACCAGAAAATAATATTTATGTAGAGTGAGATTATGATGGATAGGGGAAGCAGATTGTCGAATATGTCACTGATACTAAAATCCATTTGTCTAGTCAGTGATGTTTAGTGAACAGTGCAGGTGATAATATGCCACACCTCAGGGCACTGCATTATTAAGTGGTGAGAATTCAGTAGATATTGACACAAACGGATTCCGTTCTCTTCCACACTCATCAATCAACAAGCTTGCTTCAGGTGATTGTGGATACATAGTGGTGTCAGTGATATTTGGATAAGCTTTTGCTGATTTCACTGGACTGTTCAACAGCTGATTCATTCTCTGTAAAACTGAGTAGTTAAAACGAATGGTGGGACATCTAGTGGTAGTCAAGATGAAACTGTGGTCCACGGTTGTGACAGGGATCCATTGACTGTTATCGAGTGTCAGTTTTGATAAATGTGAAAAGTCTCATATTGGTTGCCAGTAAAATTTGAATTGCTTATGCTGTCTGCCTTTCTCATCCAAGTTCATTATTGTTTTAAGATAAACAGTAGAGATGAACATCGATGAATAACCATTCATTTACTGATTCGATAATATTTACATAACAGAGTGACATATCAGAGTCAGTTGACTTAGACAGCTGAAAAAAATCCTTGAGGTTTCACAGTAATGTTGAAAAATATCAAGAGTTGGGCATCGATTTCGTAAAATCTATAGGTAAATTTGATCTGGGAGGCAGCCAGTTTTAACATGTGAGATATATTTAAAGAGTACATGTGTATGATGTTTAACTTTGCAAGGAATGTGCAGTTGTATTCATATGGAATGTAAACGAATAAACAGGAAATCAAGATGTTCCCTGAAGCCTGACGTCAGATGCGTGTTTACACGAGTACGATAGAACTCTTGCATTCTGTAAAGTGCGATAAAATGTTCAAACGACTATTTTACTGGTATAAAAAAGGGACAACAATATCAGTAATCATCTGGATGGGTGACGCTATTAGTAATTATGAAATGTGTGCATAGTGAGAGCTAAGAGTGTGTGTGAGGTAAGTCTACACACTCCCGAAATCCAGCAACACCATTTGCATAGTCAGAAGTTGGAAACCACACTTGAATCTCTATGGATATGGAAATACTGACGAGCAGTGTACCAGTCATTGAATGATAGGATGTTACTCATAAAGACTGATTAAACAGAGGATTATGTCAATTTGGTGAGATTTCTGAATGGTAGGAGGCTGATATCTATTTGTGAGTCTACGTTTGGAAGGGGATATATTATCTCTTATCTTCAGGCTAAATCTGGGGCGTGTGCATGTCGAGTAAGAGTTAGATATATCAGTCCATCATTTTTACACAGACTGGCATGCGAACAGAATAGTGAGTTGTTTGGTGTATTTCTAGCCTTGCACCGGTCATACGCTTAAGGAGCCACATAATGTTTTACTTCGCTCTATTGAAGAATTGGGAAAGAATTACTCAGTGTGAAATGATTGTTGTCTGGATTGTAGAAGACACTCTATTCAGTATATCAGCTAGATTTGCTGGTGGTGCAGTCTTCCTTTGTTATGTACTGAACTGTTAGATCTATGTGCATATATTTGAATCGAGAGTAAGACACACCTGATCAGAAACTCTAAATAGGCAACTATCTTTACTGCTTGTGGAAGTCTTGTAGAGGTGAGTCAACTAGAAACTGGTGAGATGTAGTGTGTTGTTATTTTGAAGTATTTTTGAAGTAAACTTAGAGTTTCTGGAAGGAATATGAGGAGGATGAATATTGAGAGTATATCTCCGAGAGATGCTTCAAAATGTGGCACAGGATTATTAAGTTGTTTATGTTGAATGGAAGTTTTCGATGTTTATTTTGTTTCCGATAAGTTTCGACCAATACATTATTATATGCTTTGTTATCTACTCAGTAATTTTGATATATTGTAAATGTTTTCTGCAAATTTAAGTCATTCAATGAGTTTTTGCTTTTTTCTTTTCTTTCGTATTTCCTTAGTTTTATATTTGTGACGAAAATGTTATCATCAATTCCAGTTAATGTGTAAATTCAGATCCAATGACATTAAATGGTATTTCACAAGCTTTAAAGTTCTTATCATTTTCACGTTTTTATAAAGTCAACAGTATGACAGTATACTTTTTACATATTGTCTATCATCTGATTCTTTTTGTTTTAAAGTTGCAGAATAATATTAAGATGATGTTCATTGCAAGCTGACTCCGGTAACAGAAGCAGTAGGAAGAAGTATTCATTGATTGATACTCCTTATCTTTGTTATCTTTGCCATTCATTGTTTTGAAAAAAATAACCCAACAGTTCGAAAAGTGCATTGATTAAGCCTATATTTAGGTAGTTTTTACCACGTACTGATATCATTTAGAGAGTTGCTAAAAATTAGGGAACAGTGGAAACCTGATTCGTCCTAGTTTGTGATGCCCAACTGCGTGTACCTACGACCCCATTCGGGATGCAGCTCGGATTTTATGTACAACGTGTCACCATTCTGCCACAAGCTAAAAATCTAATTTCTCATTACTTCCAACTATGATTGCGTGATATGGTGCACCATTCAATGCCATCAGATAGTATTTGTCTTCGTAGCCAACTAGGTAAACCCCATAGGTCATGATTTTTTATTAGAACTTTGGCAAATCCACCTTGAAACAAACAAACAAAGTGATAAGCAGTGAACACTATAACATGAATCAAAACTGCGTGACTGGATAGTAACGTGCTCACCATCAGACTTAACTGTCCTGGGTTCGACCTCGAAAGATGTTATGTGTCTGTGCTGCTAAGGAGTCCCGAACTAGAACAGCATAGCTTTCCAGTATCTCTTGTACTTCAGTGCCTCTCCCCTTGATATCATTCCATTTTGAAGACTCATTCTAATCCAGTCACTTCACTCAAGCAACAATTAGAATTCTGTTTTCGTTCAGCTGTTGATGAAGAATTACAATTGTCTCAAAATGAATAAAGCATCATTTAAATCGGAGACGAGAAAGTATCGGAAAACGTTTCAATACATTTATGCAATCAAACTGTGGAACCTAAATAATGCCATAATTTTTTAAGCAAACAGGTATTCTTCATAACTTCAAACGTTGAAATTGTTGATTGAACTGTATTTCTAACACGAAATTTTAAAACGTGATGAATTTGATTAAACTAAGGCATTTACCTGAATGTGAAGAATTGTTACCATCTTCAATGGACTGTATTGGTTGTACAGCTCCAAATCGAGAACTAAAAATTGAAATAAAAACACCATTTTTGTAATCTATAAGGAATAGCTAAAGTGGGTATACTCAATATTTGGAATTCGATTTACAGCATTCAAATATACACTCATACATATTGTTTTAATTCCGTGAAAGATATAGTTGCAAGGTATTTCATTTCAACTGTTAGAACTGATGATTTTGTCAGTGTTTCTGAAGTTGGATAGAACAAAATGAATTGGTTAGACGACGTTTTGGTTTCAAATAGAGAAGAAGACTAGATATTTCATAATCATTCCAGGGATCATTATCATCAATAGAAACCTCTATGATATTCACTTGTATTTCTGTCAGCAGATTAATTCAACAGAATAATAATTTGAATACAAGTTCTCACAGTTGCTTCCTGATGCTTACCAGAATTCTGTGAGAAGTAAAATACATATGGTCAACTTTACTCCAAATGTAGTGGTATTTAAAACAAATAGCTTAAGTAGTGAGTAAATTACTCTATTACGACGAAACATACGTCCTTTGTGACGAACATCAGTGAAAATTATTGAGGAACTGATACTCTCAAACACAACCTGATTCATTCACACTGGAAAGTCTTCTTGTCTAATCTAAATTTTAACAAAAAGAATATCCTATCTGTTTCTGGAGGGTCATCAAAGGAGCATATCCAACAATTTGCCATGTTTGTGAATGAATTCTTCACGGGAAAAGTCAACGCACGAATTCGTAATTCACCTTATATTGACATTGTATATTCTGAAAACTAAGCTAACGTTGGAGATATCTGTCAAGAAATTAAAAGTCAACTAAGGGTTGGATGGGAATCACTTATGGCCTGGAGTGCTTTTTCTTAGTTTGTTACGCTTAAAATTGAGTTTAGTGGTTTAAAAAGCGTATTGTTTTCTGCTTCAACAGTTTGTTTTGAATGAAATGTGGTGCAAATTGATGAGAGATCCTAGAATATGTGTATAGTACAAATAAACTGTGAAAATTTGGTTTATTATTGACTAGAAGTTGAAATGAAAACCGATTCAGCAACTTGTGAAGTGATTACTATGGTAAAGAATGCATGGTAGCACATTACATCTGGGTGGAATCACTCAGGAAATCAAGTAAAGTCAGACTCAGTTAACAGTTTGATTTTGCACAGTATTTTATTGAAAAGTGAATCGACTGGCAGATTATTAGCATTAATCTTGCTCAGAGTAAATATTCTTCTTGACCTTTAATCACTGCATGTAACAGTTTACCTGACGACTAACGGCCATCTCAAATAGTCAGACTAAGAACTTGGAAATTCATCTTAAATGATAAATTCACTGAGATAGTCGATGACAGAGGATATATGATTTTCATGACATTTAAACCGCCTAAACTATTTATTGGATGGATCATAAGTTTTGACAACTTACACTTTCTAAATTAAATGTCTGCATAATTTCATCTTCTAAGTTATCCTCTTTAGCGAACAAATCCACTAAAGATTCCCGTACATCGACGAGTGTTTTGTACATCTCAGTTTGTTATGAGAACCTATGAGTTGAACAAACCAAGATGTTCTGCTGATCTGCTTGAAGAAGGAGTTAGCAGAAGTTATACGTAATTAAACAATCTTTGATTACCATAGAGTAACAAGCCATTGCATTACTACAACTTGCAACAATTCCTTAACCCATGCTATCAAACAAACGCAAACGTCTATGGTGTCACGTTTCAGCTACAGTGTTTAATAGAATGAATGGTCTGTACTGTAACTCTTCTTAGCCACAAACTAAATATTTCTAGTTTTAGGTAGCATGTTTTCCTATGATATCTAATGAAATAATTTTGTGTTATGACTTGTGTAGTGCATCAGAGTTCAGAAATCATATTTATTTAAAATTTAGCGGATTCATGATTCATTGTAGTCACTGAGGGTTCGGATCGCTGCTTCAGACAAGCAGTATGTATATCCTTATTTCCAGTGTATTTTTTTTATAGCATTTATCAACTATGATGCTATCTCCTGGTTAAACCGACGGTTGTATGACTCACTGGCTTGAGTAATCAACTTCTATGTGAAGTATCCAGGCTTCGGATCTCACTGTATCTACTTTTCCTTAAAAAAACTGGCATTATGTTGCAATTCGTTCTCCTCATAGCCTGCTACATAAACATGTACCACAATTAGTTGCACTGCATTAAACATGTGTCCTATGACGGCTGATTCCAGTGTCTTCTAAGATATCATGGATTACATTTGCAGACGTTACTAACCAACGAAGTCAGAGCGAAATAATACAGAGGAGTTAGAAAACAAGAAAAATGCCCTGATATTGAAGAAAGACAGTGGGATAAGAAGAAGTAACTAATATGCACATATCACCTAACCGTATGATAAAGGTAAGTAGTTTTTAACCTACAAATTTTATTTCCTATTGTACTGTCTCACACAAGAATGTCGAAGTTCCGAGATCACCAAACCACCATCGGATACAAAGGCGGAAACTCTGAGCACCAGTTGTCGTCCATGGATGGTAGTATTGAGATATGATGCAGCTGAATGGTTTTCATTATCCTAATCACAACTGAATGCATTCCTAAGAAGCTATTATTACTTTTACTGAGTATTGTTACTGAAACAAAGTTTCCCATTTTTCGTGATAGTTTTTCTTGTTTTTTTTAAAATCCATTAACGTGGAAAATGAACGTACTGAACACTGTACTGACAGAAAACCAGACAATGTAGCCTAGATCTACGACTGATAGTGCTTATAATACAATAATCACACTTCCTAATAGTAATCAGAGAGGAAATGTTTAAAAAAGGTTATACGACATCTAGAGAAAACTTAAAGGCACAAACTCATGCGATACCGATATGCATGCAAGAAAATATCTCAAATTAAAATGGTAATAAAAAATGACTACATCCAAATTTATCAGTAACCGTTTCAAGTAATTCACTTCTAACATTACCCATATGTTACAACATCAACTAATTTCGCCTATTGGTGGAACAGTAGAACTTGAGCAAATGGAATTCAGTATGTTTATCCTATTCACATTCAAATCTATGGTAGTCGACTTGACGAGAGTGTAACACATCTCGTTTTAAGTACTATGAAGTCATTTTATCGATAATTTTATGTTTGTTTAGGTTTGTCTGGGAAATTTCTATCACGCTATTAGAAGATGAAGATTGTCTGAAAAATGTGTTGCATTTGTGCAATACATTTCGAACAATCTGATCACATATTTACTTGTCAAGTCAATTTATATATGAAAATAAAAAGTGAAATATGATGAATATGAAAAGGTAATGACACTAGTCTTGGTAATATAGCCAGATAAGGATTACCAAGGTAAATTAAGTGAGACAACAAACTGCTTTTGTACGCACAGCGGAGGCTTAAGTTTACGAATGTCTAATGCTTCAGTAAACTTCAGTATGTGTCACTGATTATTCCTGAATGATATCTTGAAGGCTGTTTTCGAATTAACCTTATGATTCGTTTCAATGATATGTTTGCTAAAGATGACGATGGATGTCATCTGTTCTGTTTGAAATGTCTCTAGTTTGCCATATCACATTTATCAATTTTTGTGGTTCAGTTGTGATTAAAACTACGGCGGAAACTAAGGAAACGTTATTGAAATCATGTATCACTGACCTTCACGTACAGTCATTTCCAGTAAATCAGAATAAATGCATGACGAACTTGTCTTCAGTTGAACTTTCAATATGTGAAAAAGAGGCTGTTTCCCTTGGATTTAGTTTTTCTGTCACATACTATCATAATAATGATTTAGCCATCAATCTCCATTTCGAGAACTTATATGATCATTTAAGTTCGCTAGTTCCTACCTCTTGTGATAACCAGAGCTGGTTGAAGGCTAAACTAGTTGATATCAACCATCAATTCCATAATCGAGGTCCGAAAGAGAGATGTATTTTAACTACGCAACACTTTAAGTCCCCTGAAAAACCTACAGAAGAATCCTGATGTGATAATTCTTAAGCTTGATAAAGGATCAGATATTGTGTTGATGGACAAACTAGGGTATAAAAATAAGATGTTGTCTATTCTTCATGATGAAAGTGAATTCATGGCAGATACTCCATCAGAGGATATAAGAAAACTAGAAGGAAAAGTAACAACTAGTCTAGTCAAACTCATCAATATAGATGTTATTGCTAAAGTGGAGTTCAACTCCTTAAAACCCATGTGATCTGATTTCCAAAATCCATATGGACGTCCAGATATTCATAAAATTGGTAATCCACTAAGCCTAATATTGTCAGTTTGTCGGTTTCCCACACTCAAATTGGTGGAATGGTTAGCCGAAATACTGAGCCCTATTCGTAATGATTTATATAAGTATTCACTGAAAGATACTTTTGAACTTGTTGATCGTTTTACTGGTATGAATATCAAAGATATAAAAAAATGTATTCTTTCGATTTCAACTCTTTGTTTACGGATGCGCCCCTAACGAAGACAGTTAATATTCTTTGCCATTTTTTATCTTCGAATTATCCTTCTTTCATTATTCCCTCAATGCATTTGAAAGAGCTCCTTTTATTATGTACTGATAAGATTCATTTTGCTTTCGAAGGCAAACACTTTCAGCACACTGATAGTGTTGCCCTGAAGAGTCCAATAGCACCGTTAATAGCTGATGTATATATGTCACATATTGAACCAATGGCTCAAAATCAAATCACTAATGTCACATTCGATAGAAGGTATGTTGATGATATCTTTGCAATGTGTGACACAGACGAGGATGCTGGAGGTTTTTTTCAAAAGGCCTAATACCTTACAAGATCATGTCACTCCGACATGTGAAGAGGAAAAAGACCATCAACTCGCAATTCTTGATATACTCTTTTGCCGGAAGGAGGATAGATCTATCAGACGATTAGTATATAGAAAGCCTACTTGGACAGGACAGTACTTGAGTTTCTGTAGCTTTTGTCCGATGAAATATAAGAAAGGCTTGGTAAGATGCTTGTCCAATAAAATC